TTAAAAGCCACATTAGTAAACAAATATTTAACAAGTAGAAGAAACTGCACATTACATAATACGAGCAATGATGTCATGGAACCCATGGTTGTCCTTACAACTGGGTGCCTCTGTTCTTCAAGGTTTTTCATTCAACAAAACCCAAGAGCCATCAAGTGCTAGCAGGTTCTTTTTCTGCATCTCCCACGCAGTGAAACTTTATGCCCAATTTGGCTTTTCGGAAAGGCAGCAATCGGTCCCTGAAGCACACCCTCTCACCTGAAGATGAGCAACAGTGTGGTATTCCTTCATGAGCTCCTGTGAGTAGAGAGGCTGAACTGGGCGGAACGGGTTGATGGCCACAAGGCTGCACCCCGCGTTGGTATAAAACACATCGACAGCATATCTTGCTTGCAGACACTTCAAAACTAAAGATAGCAGAGCATTTGGTCAACACTGACGATCTGATTCCAGATTTTAGTTGCCTTTTTCAGAATACAGAACATTAAGTCTCTGTCCCATCCGCTAATGTCTTTTTGGACAGGCTGCAATTTCATTCTAGCTGGCTGACTCCACAGGCTTTAATTCCCAGCAACTGCCTTGTTGGCTTGGGAATTCTGGGAGTTGAAGTTCATGCATGTAGAGTCAAGGAACCAAATCTTGGGGTCACGCACAAAGGCAAACCAAGGTTCAAACAGAGGTTGCTAAATTAAAGAGACCCAGACACAAAATCATTAAGTAAATAAGTGACAGTTGTTATTATTATTATTAATTAAATGTATACACCCCCTGACTCTCATTGATTTTGGGTGGTTTCGTCAGTCTAAGTGTAATAATTAAATAAATATATCTAAATAAGCTACGGCAAGCAGAAATCATTGGCATAAATATTAACAGGCTTTGAGCAAGCTTGATTTTATCATCCAGAGAGAAGAGCCAAGAATTACAGACTTCCATTATCTATAAGAAAACAGGCAAGTAATATCTTGAAGTAGACCTTAAAGTATAGGCTTTATTCTTTGTCTCGTATTTCAGAAAACATCCCATTGTAATTTTGATTATAATTACTATTGTATATTGCTTAGTAATTTTTGCCTATATCTATTCTCAGCTTTTATTTCAACATGTATTTAGAGACAAAAGAAACAAAAGTTGGGCTGAAAGATTTAAAGAGTTTTCCTGTGTTGGGAACTCTGCTAAAATGCAACACAGTTATTAGCTTTAAGCTTTCTTGGGCAATAACCAGAACCCCAAGCTCAGCTCACTGCCTGATAATTCAAACTCCTGGAGGTGGCAGAGGGTGGGGGGAATGGATCATTAATCAGCTGTACTGGAAAGTAAAGGAATTACATCTTTTTTTTAACATTCAGCATGACCAGGTTGGAGTAGGTGGGTCTCCAAATGACAGGCCAACTGCAATAGTTTCCTATTTTCTTGCTGTAGAAAAACATTAGTTGGTTGTTTTTAAGGCAATAAAAGTTGTTACATGTGTTTCAAGAGTGCAGTTTGAATTTCTTGAAGTACAGGTAGTCCTTGCTTAGCGACCACAATTGGGGCCGTCAATTCTGTTGCTAAGGAAAACGTTACGTGACTGCAATGGGCTTACGATCATACTTCTGCTGCGGTCGTTAAGCAAATCAAAGTGGGTCGTTAAGTAAGACATCACATGACTGAGACTTGCGATTTTACTGCTGGCTTCTCCAATGACTCTGCTTGTTGGAAGTCGGTTGTGAACTGCACAAATGGCTGTGGGATGCTGCAATGGTCTAAATGCCCACTGACTGCGAAGTGCCCGAATGTCAATCACATGACTGCAGGGACACTGTGATGGTCGTAAATGGAAGGAGTGGTCATAAAGTTACTTTTTCAGTGCTGCTGGTTGCTAAACAGGGCAATCATTAAGCAAGGTCTACCTGTATAGTGAAATCATGATTTTTCAGACCTCAATACAATAGGCTACAGTGGGCCAAATTTCTGGTATAATTTTTGTCATTTCTGCATGATGTCATTGTACAAATGACATAAATGTCTGTGATGATATAACGGCAACTCCTTACCTCAATTGGATCTATTAAATCAAATTATATCAAAGCTGATACAACGTATATCACAAATTGATTGCTGGTTTCAAGTTAGAGAAGAATTTTCATAATCAGGCAGCAACATGGGTGTGCATGTAAAAAATGAGCAGCTTTTAAGCAAAACGTTTTCTTTCTTTTTTAAAAAATTTTTTATTCTTAAAAAACAATCTTATCAAACATCAAGCAGCGAGTCAAAACGGGTTACAAATACAAATGTGCATAATCATATTATCATATTACCAATATATCCAAATACATATGTATCATCAATAAAAGTAAAACATCACATATTATCTAATTAAACTCCTTAACTTTTTCTATTACTCTTTTTCATATTTACTCCCTAGCCAAACAATCTTATCAAACATCAAGCAGCGAGTCAAAACGGGTTACAAATACAAATGTGCATAATCATATTATCATATTACCAATATATCCAAATACATATGTATCATCAATAAAAGTAAAACATCACATATTATCTAATTAAACTCCTTAACTTTTTCTATTACTCTTTTTCATATTTACTCCCTAGCCAGGCATAAAATACCTGCCAC